ATTCTAATGATGAAAAGAAAAATCCCCAACTCTCAGGCCATATAGGAATTTTTACAGTTAAGGTTCTGATACTTTTTATTAATTGATCTAGTGACTCTGATTTTGTTTCGGTTTCGCTTACACCATCAAGTTTAGTTTCTGCTTTAAGCTTAGCTAACTCTAACTCATTCTTTGATCTCTGAAGTTTTATTTTTTCTAACTCGACAAGTTTTTGCTGTTTTTGCTCTTCCGTTTTTCTATTTTCGATAATAGAGTTTGCTATCTCTTTTACTAAATCTTGTTTTTAGTTTTAAAAATTTCACTATTCTCAATAATATCAGTTAAATCTGCTACAGTCATTTTTTCGTCAACATTTAGATTTATTTCTAAGGCAATAAGCTTTAAATCTTCTTTTTTAGCAGCCTTAAATAACGTTGTTATTTATAACAGAACAAAGCACAGAATGTACAGAATCAACAAGAGAGGAATCACTTACCTCTGCAGTGATTCACTTTTGATGAACATCCTTATCCAAAATCAGCGATATTCATTGAAAAGAACAAGCTGGGAATACTGGGAATACTCACAAACACTCCTGCGTTCTCAAAAATGAAACACTATATTTTCACACACAAAACTCATTCTCCAGCTGACTATGACCAGATATGTTTGGGTCTCATCCCAAATAACACACACTATAATAAATTCGCTGGTTCTTACTGTATTAATTCTCATAATTAATTACAATCACTCATTATTAACTCAGAGCTGTGACCAGCCCTCTTACACTGTCGATGGCGATTCTCAAACTTGTTTGATGATCACATTACAGATGCGCATGCGTAGATTACATTACAGATGCGCATGCGTAGATTACATTACAGATGCGCAGGCGCGAACAGGGCCTTAGAACTTAGTCGACATACCACTGTGCTGTAAGGTTGCAATGGATGACAACCAAAGGGGTCCTACTATGAAAAGAAATGGCACCCTAGACCATCACTCCTGGTTGTCAGCCTGTCTGCCAGAAGACAATCAGGTTGGTATCACACCGCTTCTAAACACGAATATGGTGTTGGCTGAAACGCTTTCAGAACTACTTCTTTTACTTTTTCATAATTCACGATATCCTTATCATGTAAATAGGTTATTATATCCGGGGCCTCTCCAGACTCGCCTTCGCTGATCATCGGGGCTCAGTTCAAAGCGGGACTCATCACCGAAGATTATTCTACTCCAGTCAGTGACATTCCAGTGCAAATGATCACGACACCACTGCAAATGGTCTTGACATTGTACAGAGGTCAGTGGTAATCGGCGCAAAGGGCTCCGTGACATTAGCCCTCTTTCTGTGAGCCACCTATGAATGGTCCTTGCAGTCACTGAAGCACTAGTTGCACAAACAATCGATGATAGTTGTTGGAAAATATAACTTATTGTAAACCTTTCATTGCATCATCCCTCCTCCTTGAAATGTTTATTTAGTTTAGTTCTTATTTTAATGTAATATAATAGTATAGATAATGTAATATATTAGTTACTTCTACTTCTTTTTCTTACTGCCACCGTTTGCATTGAGAACGGACTGTTTCAACCTAATTGAGATGCAAAAACGAAAGTGATGTTACGTCATCTGGAAAGCCGATTCGTGCCGATAGCTGATTGGTTGCCGTGAGATGACGTCATGCCTACTTCTGCTATAAGTATCTCGCGTCGCTCTGGCTCAACCCTTCTAGTCTCCTTCTAGTTCCTGCTTTCCTGGCACTTGAGTGAGCGGTTTCCAGCCCTTTCAGAAGGATGCATGCAGTCCGGTGAATAAAGTGCCTTGGTTCCAGTTTGCGGGATGGCTGTTCCTGAATAAAGTTCCTTGGTTCTGGTTCGCGGGATGGCTGTTCCTGAATAAAGTTCCTTGGTGCCTGTCCGCGGGATGATTGTTCCGGAAAAAGTTCCTTGGTTCATATCCATAAGATGATTGTTCCAGAATAAAATTCCTTGGTTCCAGAGGCTACCATGTGAGTGAATGCCGGGTGCGGCATCCATGTTCTTCAATAAGGGCGGCATTTAAAATAAGTTAGCGTGAGTTATTCTAAGCTGCGATTCCTCATGTTTAACTAAGTGAGCGGAGTTAGGCCAGATTTTAAGTGCTTTCAAGAACTTCATTTAAATTTTCAGGTGTTTTCTCAACCATTGATCATGGACGTTTTGACTGTGTAGCCAACTTCATTTTTAGGCCGCATAATTAATGTTTGGGACATTTTTGTTTCCCCCCCCCGTATTGAATGACAGTATTTTGGAGACCAGGTAAAATATTATTTGATATATGAAATTTTGATAATGATGGTTGTATTATATTTTTCCTAAGACTTACTGATATTGTTTAAATTTTATTTTCTGTGTTTTTATTCTTTATTATATTGTTAATAAATTGGTTAAGTTCAAAACCTTTTATTGTCTTCAATGTCTGCACAACATGATCTCTCAGGGAGCTTTTATTGCTAAATGTTTAATTTTTTTTCAAACTTTAAACTTTGCTTTAGCATCAATAGTGATGCATCTGGGACTGCGAGTGCTGCTCTGAGGACTGCTCGGTCTTCAAGTTCTGTCATTTCTCTAGGCCTACAGCTTCCTTCTTGACGCTGTGTGCGGCCATGATTCACCCATTCCTGCCAACATCGTCTAATAGTGGCATCGCTCCTGCTCAAATGTTGAGCTATTCGCTGATAAGACCAACCGGCTTCTTTGAGCCCAACTACACGACCTCTCTCAAATTCTGACATCTGAGCATATCGTTCGCGCACCTGTATGCGAGGCATATTTACTGTCTACCAGAGTACATGGAATGAAATTCGTGAAAAATTTATGACCTAGGAATTGTAATTTCTCCTCTTGAAATATCCCGCCAGTTTGCAGCAGATTTAGATGCACCGTAGCGAGAACCGTTCATTCATCGGCAAGCCAAAATGTAAAATTTTGCATTTTCCGTCGAAACCTGTATGCATATTAGTTTCTGTCTAATTTGCTTTATATCTTCTCGGTGCGTCTTTTTTTTTTTTTTTTTTTTTTTTGTCTAAGAGTGTAAATAGACACACACACATATATATATGTGATATTGTAGCAGTTGTGATGAAGCTTGGCATCAATGTTCAGGCATGGCCTTTTTGCAGAGTGGTAAGGAGGATATCCAATGATGACACATAGAGGAATTTCACTTCTAATTGCACATATTTATTTAACTTGAATAGCAGATCAATTTCCTTTTCCGACGAAGTTCTCCAAATTACATATTCAATAATGTGTTACTAAGTAGGATTAAATTTTGACTTTCTGCATCATAACGTTCTAACAAAGAAAGAAAGATGAGAAGCGTCCGATGCAAAATGGCACGCACTCAGTATTTATAGTAGTGGTTACGTAATAGGCTAGCAAATTCTAGAAGGTACTGATCTAGGGTAAAGATTCTGAATTGCAGAAAGTTAATTAAAGGTTGCTTGTTCGCAAAGAGCAAAGCCATCATATTTTTCATATTTTACATCTTCCCCCCTTCTCAAAAACAAGAGGCCGGGTGAGCAAAGCTAGTAGATTAGTGAAGCAAGAAGTATGAGGAAAGGCATGAAGAAACATCCAGGACATAGCTTACAGTCTTTAACTGTGTCACATCATAAATCATGATCTTTTCTCATATAATTATAAAGTTTTTGAAGTATACTATTTTACAATGATTGATAAATAAACATATAACTAAATTTTATATGGAAGAATAATAATAAATTTAAAAGCATAAAAACGCATAAAAGACCTGAAATTTTCTCAAAATGTCCATTAAACAGTCCTTTCATAAAAATAGTTGAAATTGAATAAAGTACTTTTTTAATTTCTCTTAAGGCCAGTAAGTCAGTTCATTTTCATCTTGTGGACTAATAAGTTTGCAAATATTATGCACTTTTCCAATAAATATGATTCAATAATAATTTGTGAAAGCAAGGCATTTAAAATTTTTCTTTTCATATAAAACTTAGAAGATATACAATTAATACCATTTATAAATAATGTATAATGTGCATTTATTCTTCTCATCGTAGGTAATTAACAATACATTGACATATTTTAAAATAATTTAAAAATTACAATACAATTCAATATAAATAATGATGTGATACGATAAGACCTTAACACTTTGAATCAAAAGTTTTGGCATGTCCTCGCCAACAGATCAGCTTGACGAGCTTGCTGATGGTTGGGGGGTGCTAGGCACAAAATATCAAAAAACCTCCGTTGCCTATTAAAAGGTAACTTTGTCTTTGGCATTGTATAATACATCAAAGGGTTTTTATAAAAAATGTCAAATTCTACAAAATTAAAATTTAAGACAAATAACTTGTATAATCAAATTAGAGTCTTTTTTAGAATTCTTGGAAACTAGAAATAAGTATTACCTTGCAACGAGAAGAAAAAAAAAATTTTGTTACAAAATAATCTAAAATTATGTGAAAATATGTGTTTATGTGTGTGTGCATGTGTGCTGTGTGTGGTAGCACTTCTATGCTAATCTATGGTCAGAGGATCGTGGCTGGTATGAAAAAGTATATTAAAACCCTAGCCAGTTTCATGACCATAGCTGACTCTCCTAACAAACAAACAAAAAAAAAAAAATTGAGGGGGTGTTCGGAGTATTACCTAGGAGGATGTCGGGCATTTGCTATCAATTCTTACTTCCTCTCTAAAGAGAAGACGCAAGAAGTAATACGCATAGTGTGATATGTCGTGTCGAGAACAGTTTAGCATACACATTCTTCTTTATTGAAAATCATGAGGGCCAGATTTTCAATGATGCAATGCACAAAGTGTATTAGTGCAATGCAAAAAGGGTTAGAGTTTTCCCTCAAGGGGACTCAAATTTTGAACAAAAAAAACTCTAGGGATAGAAGGTTTGATGGTCACCCTCTTCATCAGACTATGATGTAAATCTCAGTACAATAGGTAGTTGTGCAGTAGTATAACCCCATTTAATGCATGAGACATTTAATAAGCCTTAGAAAATGTCACTTAATCTTTTTTTTAACTTATTCTGTATATAGTATGTGTTTTTCTTTTTTAGAGGAATTGCTTTGGCTGAAAAAATAAATACGCCAGCAGTGTATCAAGATTGTGCTAGTATATTGGAAGAAATGAAGGTTTTTTTTTAAGTTCTATCATTTTCTGTAGTTAATAATATTTTTTCCCTTAAAATATTATTTTTATACTTTATTCTGTATTATTTTTGTAGGTGATATCAGATGCTGCATTTTTATATGAAAAGGGTGGATTTTTGGAAAATGCTGCAGCGTTGTACATAAAGTTGAAAAACTGGTAAATTTTCATATTTCTTGCAAAACGTTTTATTATGTGTAGAGTTTTTGCATTGTCCATCTAAAAATAAACTTTTGTATGTAGGAAAAAAGTAAAAGATTTCTTACCGTATATTACCTCACCAAAAGTGTTCAGCCAGTATGCAAAGTCTCAGGAAGCTGAAGGAAAATATTCAGAGGCAGCAGCAGCATATGAAAATGCATCTGAATATGCAGAAGCTATTAGGTAAGCCAATCTTTTGATAGACAATTTGAAAACATATTGCATCTAGAAGTTATTTTTCATTTAAAAATTATTGATTAACAGGGTCTATTTAAACCATTTGAAAGATCCAGATTCTGCAGTGAAGATTGCAAAAACTTCTAATTCTTTAGAAGGAGCCCGCATGGTTGCAAGGTTAGCACTTTTGTATAATCTTGACTGTTCATGAAATTTTTAACTTTTTTCTAATTATGTTATGGCTAATTATCTTAATCTAGGCTCTTTATAAAAATGTATACTCTGTGTGCATTGTAATTATTTTCTTATATTTTTAGATTTTTCCAGAGTTACAATGATAGTCCTTCAGCTATAAAATTTCTAGTCTTATCATATTGTAAAAGTGAAGCACTTGTATTAGCTCAGGAGTCACATAACATGGATGTTTTTGCTGAAGCTATTGGTGAAAATGGAGATCCCGAAGATTACATTAACATTGCTGTGTATTATGAAGATAAGCAAAATCTCCTTCTTGCAGGAAAATATTTTATTTTAGCACATCGTTATAAAAAGGTTTAACTTGATTTTCTTATAGTAATTTTCAGAACTAAATCCACTATATAAGAATCTAAACTGAATTGCAATATGAGTTGTTGAGTAGTATAACAGAGGCTCTTTCTTATGCTTTTTGTAACCTTATGAATCAAAGTTTTGAAGACAGTAAAGTCTGAATGTTTAAGCTCTTTCTGCTGTATCTTTTATTAATCTCTTTTTTCTATTTTGGTGCATATTTAATGTATTATACTTTTGCCAACAATAAGGCCCATTGTAAAGCAGGAAAAGAGATTGAATAGAATAAATTCTTTTTTTTTTTTATTTTGATCTTTATTGTAAACCTTATCATATGTAGCTATCAGTTTATTTATAGTGGAGGCAGCTACTGGAATGACTTAATTTTTTATGTTTCAAAGTGTAACTTATTCTTCCTTTTGGTTTTCATTGAATCATATGAACAATTTACCATAAGCAGGTTTGTAATTGCTGAATGCTGAATTCACATTCACACTACAAAAAAAAAAAAAAAAAAAAAAAAGGCTCTATGGAAATTTTTTTTTATTCTTATTTTTTTTATTTAATTTTATAATATTAGGATTTTTACTACTCCTATTAAATTTAGCATTTCCTGCTTCGAATTTAATCATTTGCTTTGCGGTTCGTTTGATCTATGAATCTCACAACCCAGTTTTGTTTGGAATATTCTGATCGGGGAAATTACTGTTCTAAGCTACACAGTGTGTCATTTGCACTACAGAAATATTGAATGTTATTCATCATTAAGATGCAGAGATCATTTCATTATTATTTGAAACCATACATGTAAATAATTTCAGTAATCGCTGCTTGTTTGTGAAGTGAAAATAAATTGGATATTAAACAAAATGGGAATTGAGTCGAAACAAAAGTGGCATCTGAGACAGGACATTTTACTCTGCATGCATTAAGTAACAAATGAGAAGTAAAATTTATGAAACAAATATTATTTTATTGGAAGCAAAGCCATATAATTTATGAATTTATTTAATTTTAGATTGCTTCTGAGTTATTTCATACAAATTGCTGTTTTGTATAGAATGTTTTCAATCTGATATATGTTGAAGAAAAATAAAATGACTTTAAATTCAGAGCAGACAGATTGTGACTAAAGTAAAGACCGATCAAGCAAAACTTGACATTACGTTACAAGCTGAAATAACTAATTTACGTCCTCTCTTTATTATGGCGGCAAATATGTTTGGCGATATTCATCGTAAGATTTATGTTGATAGGAACATTCATGTTCAATTTTGCAAAGTTGTTGAAAAGACAGAGCATTTAAAATAGATGAAGAGATTAAGGAATTAATTAGTGTTAGAGAGGAAGAGTATGATGCAATGGAATCTTACAGAAACAAATATAAACTGAAATAATACAAGTTATATATGAGAAGAAATATAAGCAGGATAATGAAGGTAAATCTGTAATTTCTAGTAAGTGTGCATCTGACAATTTAAAACTTTCCAAATTAGGTCTTATACCGATTAGTATGATCTTATGCTGAGATCATGTGTTGCATTTTGGGATTCAATTCTGTCGAGTTCAGGAAGATAAAAAAATTAAGAGAAGAAGATAACCTTCAGTATCTGCTTTTTTCATTAAAACCAAAGACCAAAGCACACAATGTCACTGAAAGTTATCCAACTTCTAAGGAGAGCTATCTAAAAGTTATTGACCACTTAAAGTCCCAATTTGGCAAAAAGGACCTATTGACTGAAGTTTACATTCGAGATATTTTGGCAGTAGCAAATAACAAATCTATCATCTAGCTAACTGATTTATATGATAAACTTGGTCCATATCTACGAATGTTAGAGACATTGGGTGTGACAACATCTTATGCAAGATTGCTGTACCCTTTTGTAGAATCATGTTTTCCAGCAGATGTCAGAAAGGTTTGGGACAAGTATAGACCCAACAGAGAAGTCAAAGAAGAACCAGTCTTTGAAAGGAAAAAGTTCTAGAAAATTTGATGCCTTTCTTATGTCATAAAGTAGAGAGTGAAGAATGTCATTTTTTAGCAGAAAATGCATTTGGAAATGATATGAAATGAAAGAAATTCCATAAACCAATTTAAATGAACTTATTGCTGATACTCTAATTTCAAATACATCTGCAGGAAAAGTTAGTTGTATATTCTGTGACCATCCTCATACAAGTCAGGATTGTCAACAATGAGTTATGATGGCAGAAAATCCAAATTTATGTGAGAGAAATGCTGCCTTGTTTTCCTTAAGCCTGATCATGTGGCAAAAATCTGTCACAGTAGAATAAAATGCTTGATTTGTGGATGGAGGCATTATGTGTTACTCTACCCAGATATATGCAATGTATTAATTCCTCATCAAAGGGTAAAGTAGCAGATGAAGAGCAAAAATCATCCTACAGAGACTCTGTTGCCCTCAGAATGCGAAATATAGTTGAAAACAATCACAATCAGTGTATGACACAGGAGCAAAGGAAATCTGTATGTGGAAATTAATGGATGATGGATCACATCATTTTTATATTGAGTAAAGCATAGTTTCTGAGTTAAATCTTCCTCCTTTTGGAAAGGAAGTGTTGTCTCAAGGATTGTTTGGTGGAGGAATTTCTCCAGTTGCTGAGCATAGTAGATATGTAGTAACTATTGAAAGTTTAGATCAAAGGTATTCTACTTCAGTGTCTCTTCTCAATCAACCAAAGATTTGTTCAATGCTACCTAGAAATATGTGATGAAACATTACTTTTTGAACTTCCTTCTCAAGGGATAAAGCTGACAGATGTTGGAAGAGATCTGCCACCTGTAAGAGTTTTTCTAGGAACTGATGAAGTTGGATGCATTTTAACCAGAAAATTTGAGGTATTCGCATTGGGAGTTTCAGCCATAGAGACTTTACTAAGTAGGACAATTTTAGGACTAAGCAAGAAAAAGCAAATAGTTGATATGGTCACATTAAACCTCCAAAATACTGTGGTGCCGAAGATATGGAATACAGAAGTTTCGTTAATTACAGATCTTGTAGATAGGAAAAAAAAAATCTTTTTTGAAGAAGAAACTTTGATCCATTTCAAGAAAACCTTAAGGGTATGTGAAAAACAGATGTTACGAAGGAGCATGGCCATTTCTAGTGGAAAGTACAACATACAGAATCACTACTTTATATGATAACAAAACGTTTGTTAAATGAAAATAACTTTGAAGCCTACTGTGTTGTATTCCAACAGTGAGAATTAGAAGGTCTCATAGAAATTCTTTCAATAGAGCAGCTTTTGAAGCTTTATCTCCTTCACAGGCCTGTTATCAAGCCATCCAGAAATACTATCAAGGTTTGCCTTCCTATTTTGCCTTAGGTACTATGAAAGTTGCTAGTGTTTTAGACTTCTTTGAAGCGACCTGGATATGCTTCCTTTTATAGAATGTTTGAGTATTGGACCGACTCTTATTACATCAGATACCACCACTACTGCTGAGATTCCATTTAGGTACTTTGGGGTAGTTGCTGACATAAAACCTTTTCTGCTAATAGGTTTAAAGGCCTAAGACAGAGATGTACTAGGGTTCTTGTGGTGGGAAGATGCTGAATGCACCAAACTTAAGATTTATAAACTTGGCCCGGAGGTTTTTGGCATCTCTTCTAATCCTTATCTCTTGAGTGCCACAATACGATACCATTAAATTAATGACATCAAAGAACTGGAGCAATTAAAATCTCTAGCTATACAAGTAATGAATGAAGCATCATTTGAATTGAGATGCTGGGCTCACACCAGAGTTCAAATGAAAGTTAAAGTCAAGGAAAGTCGAAGTGTGCTTGGTCTTAAGTGGGAGAGAGAGACTGTTGAACTTTAGTGCATTGATGCTCAAGCTGACATGAAATTTACCGAAGTTATTATGAAAAGAATGTTACTTTCTATTGTTACCAGCATATATAATCCTGTAGGCTTTATGTCAGCTGTGCCACTATTGCCAGAGTTGTTCTTCCAAAAAGCCTGGCACAATAATTTGGACTGGGATGAAGATTTGTCATCCGATTTGCAATTACATTATCAAAGATGGGCTAAACATTTAGTTTCTGTTGAGAAATACGAATTACTCAAGTGATATCACATGGAACTTTTGAAACAACCAACTTGTGCATACGAGGGTTGGGGCAAAAGTCATGGCAACTATTTTTTTCTTGTAGATATGTGAACAAATCACAAAACTTATATGTGTCGTGTGGAAATTCTGCAGGCATAGTGTGTAGGCAGAACAACAGACGGCTCTGTGGTAGCGAGGGCTCTGAAATCGGCCAGTTGGTGAGTGCCGTGCGAGATGGAAGTAACCCGTGTTGAGCAGCGCGCTTACATCAAAATAGCCGTTCCGTTCTCCGAAGGAGAAATGTGATGGAATGTCACAGTGAATGAAGCCCTTTAGAATAATGCCCTACTATATCGTACAGTAGCATGGTGGGTAGGAAAGTTTCAGCAAGGATGTGTTTCAACCAGTAATGAGCAACGTTCAGGACGACCGGTAAGTGTGCGGACCGACTTGGCACGTACCGTCATCGAGTACCTCATGGATGAAGACAGATGATGGACATTACCGGAGTTAGAGAGGGCAAGTAGCATCGAGAAACGCACCGTCCACAGGATACTGCATAATGAGCTAGCGTCAGAATCCTTCCCCAGTCAAATTGATGGTGATTGTCGCGTATGACGTCAGGGGTGTCATTGTTTGCCACTTTGTTCCTCATCGCAGAACAGTGACAGCACAGTACTACAAGGATTTCCTGGTGCGACAGGTACGACGTGGCGTTCGGGATAAACATCCGGATCTTGTGGACAGTGCAATAATTCTGCACGACAATGCAAGACCACAGAAAGCAGAGTGTGTACGGCATCTACTCCGACGTTGGAGATGGGAAGAATTGGAGTACCCACTGTACTCTCCTGACCTTTCGCCCTGTGACTTTTATCTCATTCCCAAGATTAAGGAACGAATACATGGTAGGCGG